GGGGGGGTGGTGGCTGTTCCAGTAGGAGGACACTGGAGTGGACTTCTCTCTGAGCTGAGGGTTTGTAAGGCACTGAACTTAACGACAGCTGGGATGATAGAAGAAGAAGAAGAAAGGGACAGAAAAGAAATGAGAAGTGGTTGGAGAAATTAAAAAATCCATGGTGCTCTTTCTTTTCGACCTGCCAGTGAGATGCCTCACACCAGCAGCAATGGCAGACTCCATTTTCCGACTTGGTATGGTCTACCCCTGCTCCCAGGCCACACTGTGACTCAGGGGGTCCTGGGGACAAAAGGAGACCTGCAGAGTTGGAGGGTCAAGGGAGCTGGGGGCCCAGTCCCTGGCATCAAATTCAGAATGGCAACTATTCTCTCCCCTGGGACGTCGTCCCAGACCTGGGCTGGGCCTGCCCTCAGACTGGACAAGTCCTCTCGGAGGAGCTCTGCACTTGCTGGGGGTGCGCCTGCAAGCCTTTGCGTGGAGAGGGGTGGAGGGGGCGGGGCAGCAGGGAGAACTTTGGAACGGGACCTGGCTTTGGCACAGCACCTGTTGGGTCGGCCTGCTTCACCTGTCACCCTCCTGAGGCCTTAAGGCTGGAGGCCTCTTCCTTGTCCCCAGAAGGTGCCTGCTGACCAAGGCAATGGCAGTACAACTCCAGGGCATCCCCTTCATCGTTCCCACCAAGTCTGTGCCCAGGCCGCCTAACGCGGAGCCTTCTGGACTCTGCTGCTGAATGCAAAGCCCTTCAGTCAGACGTGCTGTGGAGCGGGAAGCAACAATAAGAGGACCACTCACCAGCCCTGTGAGGAGAGAGGTGGTTGTCTGGCTGTACAATGAGCTGGGTAGGCGTTATTATCCCCTTTGGGCAAATGAATGGGCTCAGAGGGGTTAAGTGACTTGCCCAGAGTGGGTGAGCTCATGAGTGGCTAAACCTGGGAGCTGGAGGCATGCCTGTCTGATTTCGGATCCCAGGTTCTTTCCCTTCACAAGGCTGCCCCCCAGGAGCAGGGAGGAATCCCTGGGACCACGTGGGTGGGGATGTCGGAGGGGCTTCTGTCTGTCGGAGAGCAGCTGAGCAGGTTCTGGGGGACTGGACCCGCCCACACGTCGCCTTCCTGAGGGGGCTGCGGCTCAGTGCCTGGCGGACTTGCAGATCTTATCGTAGACCTCGGGGAAGGCGTCCTGGCAGTTGAGCTGGTCCCGAAGCTTGTGGTAGAGGGAGCCGTCAAACATCTCCCAGAACTCCTCCCGGTTCATGTAGCAGTCGGCATAAAGCATCTGGAATCTGCAGTGGTGGGCAAGAGGGCGAGGGACGGGAAGTGGGGTCAGCAGCGCAGGGAGGCATGGGGGAGACACCTCACCTGTTCTCCCTTGGGCACCACGGGGGGCTGTTGGGAGGCTTTGTCGGGAAGAAGGTAGGACAGGCATGCTGGCCCCCATGTTGCAGATGGGGAAACAGTGCTTGGGTTGAAGTAGCTTAGCCGTGGTGACCCTGCGTGGAACTCAGCCTGCTTCACACACTGCCTCATGTGGAGGTGGGTGTTTTTGTATTGATGCTCAGAAAGTGGCACACACATAGACACCCAAGAGCCCATTGCCACAATCTACATAACGAGCCTTTCGACTACGCTGACCTTTCCCCCTGCTCCCTCGTCATCCTTGCTTGGCCACCCTGGGCAGCACAGGGTCTGCTTTCTGTGACTGGGGACTCATTTGCATTTTCTAGGATGTTGCAAAAATGGAATCACACAGCAGGTACTCTTTTTTTGGCCCGGTTTCTTCTGCTCAGCACAGTTATTTTGAGGTTCACCCACGCTACACACGTCCTTGCTGCTCCTGAGCAGTACTCAGTCTGAGCGGGGCTCAGCAGGCAGTGGCCGCCGGATACATCTAAATGCAGCATCTACGCCTTGGGGCAGGCTGGGAGGACTCACTCCTGGGTTTCGGCCTTGAGCAGGTGAGGGGTGCTGGTGGGGACCTGGGCAAGGGGAGGCAAGAGGAAGGGGCAAGAAGACCCGCAGTTCTCCCTCACTCCCGTCCTCATGGGCAGTGGTGGCCCCGTGTAGGAGGCTCACCTTCCCTGCAGGAGAGTTGGGGTCGGTCCCGGCCAGTACATCGCATGTCCCTCCCCACCTGCCTGTCAGGGGGACTAATGCACTGCTATGATGTTGAACAGGTATTGGCAGAGCTTCCAGACTCAGAAGGACTAGGAAAAAAAGCCTGACGATCCTGAAAATCAGTCAGATAACAGTGGTCCACTCTATAACCGAGCAAGAGGCTGGCTCGGGGCTGGACAGCGCTCTACTCCGACGTGCAGAGGCCCGCTCAGTGGCAGCTAACATCACCATTCACAGTATGCTTGATGGTCCAGAGATGGCCCCAACCACAGGGTCCCTATTCGATGACCTAGTCAGTGGAGCCTGGGAGCCCCGGTATATCCTGGACCTTCCCTGGGCACCTGCAGAGCAGTAGTCTGAGCCACTCACCCATGCACGCTCCGCACAAACTTCTCCAACTGCCTCATGCAGGACCTGGCTTCGAAGTGCTTCACTCGAGGCTCCCCGTAGGCCCCAATGTCGATGTAGACCTCTGCCTCATCCCCCTTGGGGTGCACCAGGCCCGGCTGGCTGGGCAGGATGAATGGGCACAGCCAGATGGGGTAGACCTGGTAGACCAAGGAGGGAGTTGGTGCTTTTCTCCCACAGGGAGGCTCCCGAGACTTGCCAGAGAAGCTACTGCCATCACCCTCCCCACCCCACTCCCAACAACAGCCTTGTCACCCTCAGCCCTGGCTATGGACACCCGGAAGGAACTCTACCACGGAAGCTGGACCCAATGGGATGGTCACCCAGCCCTGAGCATTCTCTCCCAGCGGGGTCCTGAACCAGTGAGCAGAGGGCTCCATGGGTAAGGCTGCGGCATTCAGGGGAGGAGAGTCAGTCGCCCACCCGCCCCACATGTGGCTCACATGGATGTCGTTGTGGAAGGTGAGCAGGGCCTGCTGCATACACTTCATGGGCACCAGCATGTCCTGCACCACGTGGTGCTGCTCGTACAGCTTGCGCAGGGTCTCGCCCTGGGTCAGCTTGAGGAGGGAGATCTTGGGAGGGACCATCCAGCCAAAGAGGTAGCGAAAAATGGGGTTGTTGCCAAAGGGGATGATGTCCTGGAAGATCAAATTGGGGGTGGAGAGAAGGCATCACTACCAAGGGCCAACTTCCCCAAGCCAGGGGCAGGTCGTCCTGTTCAGTGCTGGATGCAGACACAGCACAGAGGCCACCCCCTGCGTGGGCATCCCCGATGGCCCATCAGATCTGGTCCTCAGCTCGGGCATCTACTAGCTGCAATGACTTGGGCTAACTAGTTAACTTCTCTGTGCTCAGCTTCCTCAGCGGTATAGTGGGCATGGCAACACAGGGCACACACCTCCATCAGATGCCCAGTGAGGATCCAGAGATCTCATAGGGAAGGGACTCAGCGCAGCGCCTGGCACAAATAAGAGCCCGCTGAAGAGCAGCGGCCAGCTCAGCCCAGCCGGCACAGGGGAGGCTGACCACAACCGCGGGCAGCCTGCAGGCTGTTTCTGCAGGACAATGAAACTGAGAAGGTGCACACTTTCTCTCAGGTCCCTCAGCTGTGGCGATCTGCTCTGGCAGGCCCCGGCCTTTCCAGCACCCTGCAGGGGTAGTATCACCCACTTCAGGAGACAATGGTTGACAGCTTCCTTTGGGCACCTCGGACCATTTTCAGTTCTTCCTCAAATGGTTCCCAGGGAGGAGCCACATCACTCAGTGCTGCTTCCTCCTCCCCCTGAGCCCCTCCTTGGGCCCCACTTGCTGGCGATATCAGCCATGGAAGCTCTGGCTCCAGGCTACCACTCTTCCTCGCAGGGACAAGTTCCACTGTCTTCCTCACTGTTACCAGCATAACCCACAGGTCTTTGAAGCCAAGGAGAGTCGCTCATTCATGACACCATTAGAAGTGGGCTCCAGCACCAGGTTCTGTGCTACCAAGATATTTGAGATACGAACCCCGCCCTCAAGGCACTCCGGAGCATGGAAGAGACAGCTCTGGAAAAGGCCAGGGCTGGCTTCCCCAGGGAACCACACAGCATACTCAACTTGGAGGGCTCTTCTCCTCCCGCCATACCCACACCCACACCACCCCAGTCACCCCAATGTCTGCTTTCTTCTCTGGTGCTCCTGTGCCCGGAGCCCCATCAACGCCTGCTGCACAACAGGAAAGCGTGCCAGAACACGGCAAGCATGTTCCCTTGGTAAAAGCTTTTTGGAAGTCACATGTGCCCACAGCCAAAAGATGTCCCAGACAAAGACTGCGCTTCCAGTCTCAGCCCTGCTCCTGTCCTCTGGAGGCCTGACTCCACCTCCTTGCCCTCCCAGAGCGGCTTCCAAGCCATTCCCTCCTTCTCCTCCCAGCCCTGTTCCTGCTGAGTTCACCTTGTTCTGCTTCCACCCTGACCTACCACTGCTCCCCCCGCCCTCCCCCCCACCCCATAGCTATCATCACTGTGAATTATCTATGCACCTTTCCTGGCGCCACCCACCCTCTTAAAGCATTGGGCCGCTAACCACAAGATCAGCAGTTTGAACCCACCAGCGGACCCTTGGGAGAAAGACAACAGTGCTGCGCAGCTATGCCGGGGAGACAGCAGGGTATGTGCAGAGAGAGAGATGCCTGCCTCACAAGGGAAGTAGGGCCCTACAGGATGCTACAAGATGGGTGCCCGGGCTGGCACGGAGGTGGGTGGGAGGGAAGGTCCACTAATTTCAAAACCCATTTACATGCCAAATACCTCTGGAAGGGTGCATAGACCCCAACCAAACGCACTGCCATCAAGCTGTTGCCGACTCTTAGTGACCCTATAGGACAGGGTAGGACTACCCTTGTGAGTTTCCGAGACGAACTCTTTACGGGGTAGAAAGTCAGCCCACCAGCCCCTCCTCTGGAGAAAGACAAGGCTGTCCGCTCCCTACGTTTTAGGGAGAAGCCCTGCAGGGCCACTGTGAGTCAGAATCAGCGCCTGGCTCTGACTTTGTCCACTGGCACCTGCATGCTGCATTCCTAGAAGCGGAAAATTGTGACTCTCACCACGTGTGCAGTTTCAGTGGTTACTATTTCTAGAGCATGCCGCATTTAAAACCCTCCCAAACAACCCAGAAGAATGCAGTTTCCTCACGCCTGGCCAGGACTGTGTGGTATCTATCACATCTGGGTCTCTGTCATGCCGGAGTGAAAAATTAGCCTCACTGTCCCTTGGTTGCGATACTGAATGAGCCGGCAACACTTTTCTTATGCTCAAAGGCCACTCGCATTTGTTTTTCTGGACTGTAAATTCCGGGTCAAGTGTACAGCCGAAACCGCACCCCTTCCAAAGTCTCAGCCTCAGGACATCACGGTTAAGCCTGTGTCCTGCCCTTTCCTCCTCTCCCCTGGCTCCCCCTCGCCAACACAGGTCCGTTGAGAACCTGGTGGCTGGCCCTCCTCGTCCGCAGCTATGCAGCTGGTTGCCTGTGTCGGGTGACTGGTTGCTGCGGCTCTGCTGGGCTTTAGGGCACTACTACAGACCCAAGGAGTCCACCCTCAGCCAAGCCCCCATGACACGCCTGTCCGTGCAGTGGTGATCCAGGAAACACAAGTGACGCCCAAGGAGTCACCCAAGGAGACGCCCAAACAGCCACCGTGCCTGTTCTTCTCAGACCTGCCTCCCGCCTCAGTGCTGATAGAAGGTGCACGGACCAGGAGTGGCCCAGGGTACTGGGTCCGTTTGTGCAGCATTTCCACTGCTCTGCTTGTACAAATGCGCTGAGTGCTGAAGTGCTTTTATAGTTCCCTGGGAAAGGTGAACCTTCATGTTCACCGCACTATTACTTTTTCTCCATTTAGTGTGACATTGGCAGCAAACCTGCATGAGGAGCAGCCTAGGGATAAATGGGAGAGGCGTAATGTTCTAGTGCCGTAATAGTACTTGCCGCCTGCTTTTTGAGGCACCGTGGCTGAAAGACTGTGGGGCTAGCTGACTGGTCACTAGAGGTGGGGGAGGGACGGGACCAGCCGGGTCGGGCCCAGGTGTGACAATGAACTGGTCTCCTAGAATGCAGCTTCTGGGGGGGTGGGGGTGGGGGTCAGCACCCAGCCCAGGCCACAAGTGGCTCCCAAAAGGGCCCAATTCAGCAGGGAGGAGGCTGAGGGAGGTTGCCAATAGGACCAGGAGTTCAGCCCACAGCAAGGAGCAAAGGTCATCTGAAACAGTTTCTCTTTCTTTCTAGAAATGGCTTTGTCACTTGTACCACCATGGGCACTGTGGTGCTCCCCCAGGGAGGCATCCATCCCCCTAGCTGTGGACTGTGCACGGCTCAGCTCAAAGCTGAGTCCCTCTCCGGAGACTTGCCCATGGCTTAAGGGAGCAACCTCATCCAAACATTTACTACCCAGCCCTTGGTCCAATGGTTGACACTCACTATCTGGACAATTTCAACTCCTGGCCTTCATTCTCCAGCCCCATCACTTCCCTCTCCAGCTCCCTCCCTCTAGTTCCTGACTTCAGATCTTCACCCTCCCGGTGTACCCAATCCACATCTTAGCAGCAGCAGCAGCAGAGCCCTGGCTCGCTTCTCTTCGGCAAGCTTCCATTGATTGCAATCATGCCCTGTGCCTTCATTCCCCCTTGCCCCCTCACCAGCTGGCATACTCAACTGCAAAGCCTCTCCCCTGGCGAAACCAGAGCCTCCACCTTGTCTGTATCACCCACACAAGCTGACAGGTGAAAACTCTCTAACCAGGCTGGCTGGCTGGCTGGTCCCACTGTAGGTTGGTGAGTACCATGCCAGGTGAGCACAGGGCTGCTGGCCATCTTAGATTTCCTTACTCTCAACACCCCCTCACTCTCAGCTGAAATCCCAGCTTCCCATTTCACTGAGAAAACAGCAGCCTTCAGAGAGAGCTCTCGCACCTTCTCACCCCCATGCCACCTCCTGTTTGTAGCCAGTGCCTCCTGTCTAGCTGTCTAGACTCCCAAAGCCCACCTCTCCTCGCAACCAGAGGGCCCGGCCCCACACCTCTCCTCAGGACTTTGTCCTACACACAGCCCTGTACTGTCACTTCCTCTTCCTAATGGTTAGTCCCCTTAGCACACAAACATATTATCATCTCTCCTTTTTTCAAAGAGTCTCTAATTCCCTATCGGGTGCATCTCCTCAGAGTTCTGCAGTCACGGTCTCCATTTCCTTATTTCCTGTTCTCTTGGGAAGCATCAGACCTCGCCTCCACTACTCACGTCACCAATGGCATCCTCATGCTGAAGCCAGAGGTCAAAGCTCAGGTCCTGTCTCACTTAGCAGCATTAAAAAAAAAAATCATTTTATTGGGGGCTCGTACAACTTTTATCACACTCCATCCATCCAGTCAAGCACATTTGTACAATTGTTGCCATCATCATTCTCAAAACATTTGCTTTCTACTTGAGCCTTTGGGATCAGCTCATTTCCCCCTCCCTCCCTGCTCCACTCAGCAGCATTTGACACAGTGAGTCTAGAAACAGCCTTCACCAGCTCCCAGGATGCCGCATTCGGCAACGATTTCTCCTGACAGACCGCACCACCTTCTCAAGCCTTTGGGTGTTCGTGGGCTCGTGGGTCCCTTCTCTGACCACCTTCCTCACAGGCTCCCATGACTTTGACACCCGTGTTTTCGTCTGAGGTCGTAGACTCTGCCCGAAGTCTTTACACAGGTATCCCGATGCCGCTTGGACGTCCCATGGGACGTCTGGCAGGACGTCACGCTGACATGTCCGAAGACGAGACTTCACATTCTTTCTAGGCATCCTGCTGGCCAGGCCCCCAAGACTTGGACGCCGCACACGCATGCCCAGTCAGCCTGGAAATCCCAGTGGTTGGTTCAGCCTCAGTCCCGCCTGCCTCGGACACTTGTTCCTTCTCCACTGCGAACCACGGTGGGCAAGCCACGCTCGCTTCTCCCCCAGCCCCAGCTCAACCCCTTTCCATTCGGCTAGAAACGTTATTCCTTTGAAATAAAACCCGAATCATGCCCTGTTCCTGCGCAAACAAACTCGTTGCTGTGGAGTCGACCCTGACTCCCGGCAGCGGCATGAGTGACCCCACAGAGCGGAGCTCCGTGGGGTTTTCTTGGCTGGACTTTGGAGGGATGCAGATCAAGTGGCTGTTCCTTTAGTCGTGGGGTGACCACTGGGCCACTCGGGGACCGGGGCTCCTGTCACACTTCCAATCACATGGAAAGGCTTCCTTCGAGTTCACTCTCATCAGGTCCCTGTGGGTTCGAACTGCTGACTTGAGAGCAAAACCTCCTTTTGGATTAAGTCTCCGCTTAAGCTGCGCCACCCACGCAACACAGAATGTGTGAAAACCCGCCCTCACGCAGCCCCACCCGCGCCAGTCTCTGCCTCGCTCACCTCCGCCCCCATGCACCAGGCTCTAGACCCGCCCGCCCGCCCTGCTGCTTTGGAACACTGCCTGGGTCGCTCGCTCCCCAAGGTGCGAGTGAGATGGCCTGCTCCCCCTAAGGACAGGCCCCACTCAGAGCCATCTCCTGAGGCACCTTGTCTGACCTCTCTGCAGAATCCCACAGCCTTCCCGTCCCGCCCCCGCGATTCCAGCTCAGCATCAGGCCAAGGGAGGCTCACCTCCAGCCCAGGAGGAACTAGTGATGGGGCCTGTCCACTGTTCCTCAAGGGCCCGAGCCCCCCCGCAAGCACACGCCCAGCGCCAGGAGCCAGAAGCCCCAGAAGGACGACTGCGTCAGCTGGGAGCTCAGGCGCCTCCGAAGGAAACACGGGTGTTGCTACGTAAGAGGGCACTTAGCTCCTCGGACACAGCCAGCCCTTTCTCCTGGGAAAGAGAGTTCGGTGGCAATGTTCACCAGCTTGGCCCCCTCCCTGCCGGGAAACACGAGCCTCACCTGGAGCTCCCAGAAGATGCTGCGCGTGTGGCGGTGGTAGTAGTGCCTGAGGGGAATGTACTCCAGGCCCTCCTGGTTGGTCTTCAGGTAGTTCTCCACGTGCTTGAAGAACCAGGGTTTGTAGTAACTGCCGATGCTATTCAGCTGAAATGACAGAGGGCATTGTGATCTGCCACCGACAAGCCACATGCGTTGTCGGGGTGTACTACGGTGACTCTTGGCCGCCTGCCTGGCCTTTTCAAAGCCCTTTCATGTCTATTAGTGCCTTTGAGCTGCCGGGAAGCCCGGCGAGGTTATGCACAGCAGGTTTTCCAGAGTGGAGAGCAGTTCAAAGAGGTTAAGTGGTGTGTCTAGGGTCAAACAACTAGTTCCTACTAGTCCAGAGAATTCAGCAACTCCCTCGTTAGCCTGGGCTCCTCTCAGCGAGAGCCCTGGAGTAAAATGTGTCCCAGTGTCAGTTGCAATGCCTGCCCCACCTGGGTGACTTCTACCCCTGGCTCCTGCCTGTGGGCCAGGGCTGGCAAAAACGCTCAGCCATGGGCTGTCGACCCCCACGGGAGCCCCCTGCCCCAGGTTTCAGTCGCTGTCAATCTCAACTGGAGCGGACAAACGCTTCGTCTTCTGGGCCGGAGGGGTTTTCCAGGCCTTTCTTTTGAGGTGTCTCTGGAGTTTGAACCCCCAAACTTTTGGACAGCATCCCAGTGCTTCGTCCTGTGCACCACCAGGCCCCCTCTGGCCTTCGGCCGCCAGTGCCAAACCCTAGGCCTGTCACTCCCTTTGCACTTCCGTTTTCTCAGGTGTAAAACGACAATACAAACACCTGCTTTATGAGGGTTTTCTCTGAAAGGACACATGGGGCGGGCAGCAACGGTCTAGGAGGAAATATGGAGTGAAATGAAGCTCAAGGAGGACAGTCTCCAGCATGGATTGCATCTGAACCTAAAGAAAGCAACAAGCCACGCATGGGGCCAACAAGCATCGCCACGCTCCATGGAGAACAGGCTGACGTGGTCAAGGACTGCACTGCACTTGGAGTCACACTCAGGCCCCGCAGGCAGCTGTGAAAACATCACACACGGCACTGGGCCCATGTGCTGCCCGAGCCCTCTTTCAAGTGTCCAAACGCAGAGATGTCACTGTAAGGACAGAGCTGCACCCGGCCCAAGCCATAGCCTTTTCAAGCACCTCAGATGCATACAATAAATAAGGTAACCACCGAAGAGTTGATGTCTATATAATGTAGTGTTGAATACTGAAAATACCAGAGGTGTCAACAAGAATGAACACATTTGTCTATGAAGCAGCGCAGTCAGGATGCACTTAGAAGAGAGGACGGTGAGACTGGGTCTCAGGTATTTTGGACATATCACCGGGAGGGGCCAGTCCCTGGAGAAGGACATGCTTGGTAAAGAGGAAACCCTGGACGAGATGGCTTGACACCGGGGCTGCGACCTGGGCTCCAGCGTAAGAACAGTCGTGAGGTTGGCGCGGGACCGGGCAGCGCTTCCTCCTCTTGCCAGGAGTCAGAGAGAGCTCGCTGGCGCCCACACCAACAGCCGAGAAGGAAGCAGGCTGTGCAGTATCAGAAGACGAAGTGAGGAGCAGAGAAGCAGCAAACCAGCCTGGAGAACAATCCAAACCACATTTGGCCTTGTGCACATAATGCAACTCACTCTTTCTCCCTTCAAGGACGTGGGGCCACCACAAGGCCGGGACTCCCACCCATCCCATGTGGCCATACAAGGCCAAGGCCAGAGCAGAGCATCTTCAGCACTGGGCTCTGGACTATGGGCGTTATTTAGAACAAACAGCCAAAACAAACTATTCGTTTTTTCCTCTCCTGGTTCCCAAAGGAACTGTGCTCCTTGTGAAAACTTCAGGCAAGGCAGAAAATGTAACTTGGAAAGTGAGAAACGTGTTGTCTTGCCCTCTAGGGCGACTGCACACTATAAAACGGCTCCATCCTTTGCATGTTGTAAGGAGCCCCGATGACGCTCGCTGTGAGGCACTCACTCGACTGCTAACCACAAGGTTGGCCAGTTCAAACCCACTAGCTGCTCTGAGGGAAAGAAGATGAGGCTTTCTGCTCCCAGGTTCCAAGTCCTGTCCCACTATGAGCCAGAATGGCTTCCACAGCAGGTTCGGACTCACACAGAGCAGAACTGCCTCACGGGGTATCTGGGTTGCAATCTTTAGGGGAGCAAATTGCCAGGTCTTTCTCCCAAAGAGCTGGTGACGGGGTTTGAATTGCCAGCCTTTCTGCTAGCAGCTGTGCGCTTAACTTTATCCAGTGCACACTTTTGACAACCGGCTTCGTCCCTCCTTACCGCAGACTTGGTTGATGCTGGGCAGCTTCCTGGGCCTCATCCTTTGCGGTAAGGAAAACCTGGAGCCCTAACCACCCCGGGATGTGTGGGGAGATGGGAACGTCTACAGTGTTAAATGCCAATTCAAGTGCTCCGCCCATGGTGGGTGCAGTACAGCCACTGCTGCTCTGGGCCAGAGCCAGGCCACACACTGCCCTTGCGCTCTGGCAGCCAGTACCTGCAGCTTATCTGGTGGCACCTCTCTTTAACAGCCCACTCAGCTAATAGGCCACCCCGGAGGGAGGGCACCAGGGACGGCGACATGCCAGAGGCCTGCAGTGGGAGAGCCTGTTTTCCCAAAGCAGCATTAATGTGGGTAGGGCCAGGACACCATACACACTGGCCTGCTAATGCCAAGGAGAGGGAAGCCCAACAGGAAACAGAGCAACTTGGCTCCAGTCCCAGCTGCAGAATGGAATTTGGGCTTCCTGTACACAGGGCACAGGCTGCCTGTCCCTCCAGAGCTGGGCTGGGTTGGGGAAGTCAGGTGGCATGCCGGTTCCACACCCAACACTTGGGTAATCAGCCCTTCCCATCTCAGGGTATCCCTGTAGAATGGGGTGTGGTGCTTCCTCACAGGGCTGTGGTGAGCCTTCCAGTAACCGGTCCATTGCACAGAGGTTCGGAAGGGATGCTGCTGACATCCAAAGTCCATGTCTTAGGGCTCCTACCGTCCTCGGTCACAGCCCTCTGCTTGTCACTCCTCAGAGCACTTGGCAAATGACTGTGGGCCTTGGGTCACTGACGTCAGGGGAACATCTGGGTATGGCTCTGTGGCCTGGGTCTTCTCCTTGGACAACAAGGGAACTTGTCAAGGAGTATGAACATGTCAAAAGCTATATAAACACACCTGTCCAATCAGAACCCTAGAAAGTACCTAGTATATCAGGCAGAGTCTAGCAGAGCCGATCTGAACACAGTGGGGGAGCAGCATCCCTGGGGCCCCCGAGCTGAGCTTCAGGGGATGTCTTTGAGCAGCTGGCCAACCTCTGCTCCAGATGTCCGTGCTAAGTATATCAACAACACACACTGGCGGGCAGGAGCCCACAGTCCTCGCCTCTGCTCCACGCTACCCCTCTCCAGTGCTCAGCATAGTGCACCACCAGCAGTAGGCGATGAGAAGGCAGGGAGCCGAGTCAGGCGGGAAGGGGAAGCTCCCGCGCCACCTCCCTTTCTGGGTCTCCTTCCCTTCTTTGGAGCCCTTTGCCCATTTTGAACTGTTCTAACTCAAGTCATGGCGATCAAGAGCAGTAAGAAGTGACCTTTTGACCACTTCTACTTCAAGACACGATTGAGATCACAGATGGAAGATGTGTGTTGCCATGGCCATTACAATAGCGAGGAGAATCATGGGAAGCAACTTAAATTTTCAGCTATGGGGAAGTCGTTGGCTCAATGGAATCCACTCCAGGGCCAAGGGACATGCTCTTCACACGAAACCAGACGAGCTGGCTATTCAGCTGAAGACAGACAGTGAAACCAGGCAGGCGACCTGAGAAGTGCAAAACAAACCCGCGCGTGCTAGTTTTAACCCTCTCCGCTGGACCAAATGTAACGAGCGATACTATCCGGGGGCTGGCAGGGACGGCGACCTTTGAAAGGGTAGTCTCAGATACTCTCAGAGGGCGACTTTTCGGAAGGGCTGTTAGGTCTTATCTTTCACTACGTCATGGGATCAAATCCTTGGGGCCAGCATTCCATTTTTATTTTTTTAACTGAATCCCAGAGAAATGCTTGTCTAAGAGAGCAGGGAGCGAACCTCATTTGTGAGCGCAAGCTGTTTCAGGAGACACCAGGGCTGTCAGGGAGCAATGAGGTCAGGAGGTGATTTCCTTCCAATAATAGGATACTGCAGCTGAAACGAGGGCCTGTGCGCGCACGCACGCGCGCGCACACACACACACACACACACACACACACTTACCCTGGAGTGTGGCTGGGGGCAAAGAGACACACTTGAAACTCTTCTTTATAGAGTCCAATATTGTTACACGACTTTAGTAACGAAAATTAAAAATAAACAAAAAAATCTACCACAAAGAAAAAAAATATATCCTGAGCGGTTTGGCGACAGCTCGTTCTGGGTCTTGTATATAGGGGAAGACTCTCTTTTTCCTTGCTTCTATTTCCCTGTCGCTTATAATAAGTACAGCTGCTTTTGACATGTTAGGAAAAATGCAATTCAAAAGGGCCTGGCACACACATTCTGACTGGGGCCACCAGAGCTAACTCTTGACAGAATAGGAGAAAAACAGGAAGAACTCAGATTCTTATTTAAAGAGTAAAGACAGAAATGATGAGGGCAGGTAGGACCAGTAAAGAGAGGACGACTTCTGAGACTGTCCCCGAGGGCACGTTCCGGAGACTCCCGTGGCACACTAATGAACGTCATTACCCTTGAGATCAGTCCACTACTAGAAACAATGGCTCAACAATGGCTCAACAATGGCTCGAAGCCCACGCGGAGGCAGGGAGCCCAGAGAGCTGGCGAGGGCACAAACAGCACCCAGTGACCCATGGGAGAACCCAACTACTGTCACCAAGCGATGGGTGAAGAAATTGTCAAAGGGGAGCCCAACTGTACACAACATAGGAACACTCACCAAAAATCTAGGGGAAATATTACCAGATTAAAAACAGTAGGGGGGGGGGGCGCATGGTGTAAATGGAATCATTCAATGGGAATCCAGAGGCATCAAAGCAATTCCTCCAGCCTTGGCTTTGGCTTACACTATCTCTGGGGACTTCGCTTGCCTCAGGAAGAAGATGGGGTGGCTGTGAGGGTCAAAGGTGATACCTCTTAAGAGGTGGGCATGTATATGACAGGTGGTAGGGACTTCCCTCATTGCCCACAAAACCTCAGCCTATAAGTCCTGCAGCCCGGAAGGGCTGACCTAGGAAGCAGTCTCCAAGAGGGTGCAGACTCCAGCCTCCGTCCAGAGCTAACACCCCGGCCTACCTTGCTGGGCTCCGCTTCATCTGTCATGACACCCGTCATGATGACTGCCTCGTCCAGGGAGTAGAGCAGCCCTTCCACGAAGTGGTTCTCCAGCCGCTGGGACTCCTGGGAGAACCGGTCACAGATGTTCTCCAGGCCCCGGACTGGCTGGAATCGCAGCTTGACATACTTCTTGGCGGGGATGATGCGGATCTCGGCGGTCACCAGGAAGCCCAGCGTGCCACAGGACCAGGGCACAGCGTAGAACAGATCTGAGTTTTCAGACTGTGAGACAGAGGCAGAGAAAACACAGGGCGCTGACACACTGGACTACATCCTGGCAGGTGATCAGAGGACAAATGAAGCGCCTGGGATCTCAGAGCCAAGAGGCCTAGATGAGGTTCCTGTTGTCTTGCTCTTGTTGTGTCAGTCCAGAGACCTTACAAACGGTACAGTGTGAAGGGCAACTTAGCACCATAGTCTCGGGACTCCTCTCGCCTTCATCAGTCCAGTCAGTCTGGATTCCTTAAGAATTTAAGTAGTAGCCCGGCACCATCTCGTTGTGGTCTGAGTTGCTCGTAAAATATATCAATCCTTCTCAGTCCATTAGCTTGTTTTATCTGCCAACAGCCGGGCCGAGAGAACACCAGCATTCCCACCTGACAGGTAAAGAAACTGAGGCTCCAAGAGGCGGCATGACTCAGCTAAGGCTTCTTAAGAAAATCAGTGGCAGCGGTGCCAGGGCTCAGGCAAGATCAAGCCTGTCCCCTCCCAAAGCAGCCTTTCCCCTACAGCACCTCACGTGGGGCTATCTGCTTCTAACGTCAGCAGGTTCTGGTTTTGTCTGGAGGACAGCTGGCTTTTCAGCTGGTCATTCTAATTCAGATTCTTTGATTATTCAAATAAGGTTCCTTTTGAAAGAATATGCCAGCCCTCTCGTGTCTCCCTGAGAAGACATCTGTGCAGCTGCTGGGAACACCCAGGAGGCCTTGGGTGGGCTGGAAGGGTGAGGAGAGCTGGAGCAGAGGGTCCTGGCTGGCCAGCAGAAGCCTCTGTAACAGCAGAACTGGGCCCACCTGGGCCACCACCTACTCACACTGTCACGGTCTCCACAGCGATAACCAAGGGCCGGGTCCTGAGCCAGGCCCTGCGATGCCTGCCTCAGATGAGGAAGATGGGTCTCCGAAGGAGGGCGAGGAGGAGACACACGAAGAGCTATCTCCTTTCTCTGTTAGCATGGAAGACCAGGGAAGCGTGCTGACCAGATGTGAGTGCTGAAGAGTTCTCTCCTATCCAAGACCAGACCTCCCATACCAGGAGTTCTTCCCTGGTCTCTCCTTTTGACCCTGGTGGCATCTTCAACAGGATCAGACTGTCCCTCCTAGCACCCAAAACAACCCCAAACCGTTGCCATCACTTCGATTCTGACTCACAGGGACCCTGGCGACCAGAGCAGAACTGCCCCCAGGGGGTTTTCAGGACTGTAACTCTTTAGGAGTGCAAAACCTCACGTTTCTCCCAACGAGCAGCTGGTGGTTTAACAGCCCAACATGTAATCTCTATACCACCACAGCTTCCAGCACATGGTCTCCTTAAATATGCTAGTAGGGAGCTTAGTTTTTTTTGAAGTTTTAATTCAACCCCACTCTTTGAAGATACCAAAGAATCAAAATCAGAATCCATTCTGACTCTGAGCAATACCAGGTGGATTACTGAGTCTGTAAATTTTTATGGGCGCAGACAGCCTCATCTTGCTCCTGAGATGATGGTAGCTTTGAACTACCAACTTTACAGTCCAATCCCTAACCTACAGTGCTACCAGGGCACTTGACCTTTTAGGGCAGTGGTTCTCAACCTTCCTAAATGTCACAACCCTTTAATACAGTTCCTCATGTTGTGGTGACCCCTGTATGGGGGCGTATCTGCATGTGGGTGGATCCGCCTGGAGACAGATGGAGGAGCAGTGTCTTGGTTCCTAAGACCATCGGAAATACGGTCTTAGGCAGCCCCTGGGAAAGGTCGTTCAACCCCCCAAAGGGGTAGCGACCCACAGGTTGAGAACCACTGTTTTAGGATACGAAGTCTTAAAAGACTATTTGTTCTGGAAGGTAGAATTATCTTTTTATTTCTCCAAATCCGTCTCTCGTAATGCTTTTGGTTACTCCTCACAACATCAAGCAATACAGAAGAATGGGTTGCTAAGGACATGAATCTAGGAGCCCGGTTATCTGGGTTTGAGTCCGAGCTCAGTCATTCCCTAGCCGTGTGCTCTTGAGCAAGTTTAGCCACCTCTGTGCTTCTGTTTCCGCTCTATAAAAGGGGAGGAGTACTAGTATCCATTTTTGGTTGAAGAACTAAAAGCATTAATATGTCGGGGGGATTTGTGGGGATAAAAAAGATCATAAAGCATTTACAGGCACCTTTGGACACTCTGAAATAGAAAAATACCTTTTACAACAGTACTTCACCATCGCTAAGGAAACCACAGTGGCTGCTGGGGAGGGGTCCATTCTGAGTCCAAAGCTGTCACCTTCAGAGGCAGACTGCCCCACGGTTCTCCGTGGAGCAGCAGGCGGGTTTGAACCGCCAGACCTTTTGGTTAGCAGCCTTTGTACCACCAGAACGCCCCCGCCTCCTTCTAAGGATCTATACAAATGATGCTATTATCTATTATCGCAGACACGGTCCCAGGGTGTCCGCTGGACTGATTCCTGCAGTATTTGGGAGGAATTACGCCTGAGGAGCGACCCCCGCCCCCACCCCCAGCCCCAGACTGGACTCACCGGAGTGCACCGCACGAAGCTGCCGTCAGCCAGGATCAGCTCGTAGGCTGTGCAGATGTGCTGGAACAGGCCGTACTTGTGGGATGACGACTCGATGCCGGTGCCCATGATCAAGCCCCCTGCGGAGACACTCTTGCTAACCCAGGCAAACTGCAAGGTGCAGGGTGGGGCGGCCGGGGAAAGGGCGCTGCACTGGAGCGGAGGGAGGTCATGGCATGAGGGAAGCAGAGCAACGATGGGAGAAATGCAGCTACTGACGTCAGGAAGAGTTCAGGGGAGAGGGGGAAGAGGGGTGTGGACAGGAGCTCGGGGTGAGAGGCCAAGGGCGTTCACAGCCTTTGCTCTGGCCAGACCCAACTCAGAAACCTGTGTGTTCACGTGAAGAGGGACCTCGATGCAAAGGGGAGGGGGGGGGGGGGGGGGGGGGGGTGGGATTGCAGGAAGCGGTACCTCAAGGGAACAAAGGATGGCCAGTGTGTGCTGTGGAAAAGAACAAGTCTCTGGGTGCCAGCTAGAGAGAATAGACTTACTCTGCCCCTAATTGTAGAATTAGGGGTAATGGGAAGAAGTCAGGGAGAAGCTGCGTCTAAGCTAGACATAAAAAGTGCTGATGCTTCTCAAAAACTCACTGCCGTGGAGTGGATGCTGACCCAGAGTGACTATAGAAAGGGGTAGAGCTGCCCCTACGAGTCTCTGAGACTGTAACTCTTCACAGGAGGAGAAAGTCCTGGTTTTGAACTGTTGACTGTGCAGATCGCAGCCCAATGCATGGCCTCTACACCACCAGGACTCCTGTCTGATAGTTGGAGCTGTTGAAATGGAATGGTAGGCAGCGGTGCTGCAGCTGGGTGAGGAGAGATGGAAGACTTCTGCCCAAGTGGGAACAGAGGGGCTTCCTGAACTGGGCGGGAAGAGAGACAAGTCTCTCAGCTGGGATCCTAGTACTCTGCTCTGCTTGGCCCCTGGCACAGCTGCTCACCTACAGTGAGGTCATCAAGCTCAGGCAACACAGGCAGAGTCCAGCCAATGGAGGTCAGCAGGGCGGTCACCTGACCCATAGTTACCAAGGGCTCCACACGGACAATCTGTTGACACAGGAAAAGGAAGCTAGGTCACACGGAGGCTGCTAGGACTAACAGCGGGAGGGAAAGGTCTCCGGCAGCCATGGGGTGTCATCCCAAATGTCCCACACCTCAGTGAAGGGATTCCTACACAGCGTTTGTGAACTCTCTTCCTAGAGCAGTGGTGCTCCACCTTCCTAAAGCTGCGACCCTTTCATACCGTTCCTCCTGTTGGGGTGACCCCTAACCAGAACATTATTGTCGTTGCTACTTCATCACTGTCATTTTGCTACTGTTATGAATCATCATGGAAATATCTGATATGCAGGATGCATTTTCATTATTACAAATTGAACATAATTAAAGTATAGTGATTAATCACAAAACAGTATGTAATTATACATTATGAAATATTTATTTCTAATGACAAATAATGAAATCTTGTCTTGAAGCATGGTGTAGCACGGGTAACAGTCTTCACACCGGGTACTCGTATGTGAGCACATTTGCATGTGGGCGTCCCGCCTGGTGCCGGATAGAGGTGTGGTGTCTCAGTTCCTAAGACCATCAGAAATATGTGCTTTCCAATGGTTTTAGGCGATCCCTGTGAAAGGGTCGTTTGACCCCCCCAAGGGGTCTCGACCCACAGGTTGAGAATTACTGTTCTGGAACATTTCAAATAACCACAATCTGCACTCACTGCCATCAAGTCAATGCTGACTCACAGGAACCCTATAGTATAGGACAGGTAGCACTGCCTGCGTTTCTGACCATGAATCTTCGAGGAAGTATAAAGTCTTATCTTTCTCCCTTGGGCTGGCCGGTGGTTTCAAACGGCTTACCCTGTGGTTTGCAGCCCAATGCAGAACCACTATACCACCTCTGAATCATACGGAATGTAATGTCTGGCTCTCTGGCTTATTTCATGCAGCCCTTTCAAACAGCTCAACATTGAATGCTTCCTTTTGTGTGTCCTCGCCACCTAGTGATAGAGGAAACACTCATCTGGCAGATACAGCAAGTAGGAGACAATAAAACAAAACAAACCCGTGCAGTCTTTGCATCAATTCTGCGGGCTGGGGTAGACTAGTCCATAGAGTTTCTAAAGCTATAATCTCCTGGACCCACACACAAGAAGTGTGAAGCTCATCCTTGGTGAATTGCTCAGCACCAGTGATAAAAGCATTGAAAAACATGTTATGCACACAGGAACAAAAGTTAAGGACGATGGCGTTCTCCTTAGACACGGTGCAAGCCTGAAGTCAGCCATGCAACGCCATTAGACTACTGAGAGAAACACCCCAGACGGCCAATCTGAAGCTCCAGACCCAGTAAAACTGTCATCCAAGCAGGAAGGCACAATAAACATCGTCACACACCCAAAAGCTTTGTCGCCAGCAAAACCACTATATGAGAAATATTACAGGCAGCCTGAGGGAAATTAAATCAGATGGAAATGTGAATCTACACAATAGAATGAAGAGCACCAGAAATAGTGGATAAATGTCAGATCGTTTCTTCATATTTACACTTATTTAAAAATAATTGATTATTAAAAAACAATACGATAATATGAGGTTTAGAGCATGTAAAAGAAAGACACTAGTTGCAAAAAAAAAAACCAAAACGGTGTTAAGGTATATTATTGTAAGATTATGGAGCCCTGGTGGTGTAGTGGTCACAGTTTGGGCTGCTAAGGACACGGTCAGCAGTTCGAAACCACCAGCCACTCCAAAGAGATAGATGAAGCTTTCTACCCGTGTAGAGTTAACAGTGATGGAGACCCACAGGGGCAGTCCTACCCTGTCCTTTAGGGTCGCTGTAAGTTAGCATGAACTCGATGGTGGGGGGCTTGATGTTTCCGTTATTGTATGATTCTTACTTATAAGTGAAATGGTCTAATTTCACTTGAAGGTAGGCTGTGATGGGTGCATACTAGAAACCCTAAAACACTTGCTGTTGCGTCTGATTCCGAGCAACCCTATTGAGATAGTTTATTGTGCAAGCCTGGCGGATAAACACAAGTGGGATTAACTGAAGGGCGGAGAGATAAATGGCTTGGTGAGCCTCGTCTTTCTTGTCTCTCGCTCTTTGATCATCGGACCAGT